AGCAAGAAATGCTTGTATTTTGAGAATGCATCCGCCAGGAAATCTTCAAAATCAGAGAGGAAATTTCCCAAGGACCCAGGTGGACGGTAGACACATGAGCAGAAGACGACAGACCCATCAACAAGTTTCAGTTTTGCGTTAATTGCCTCAAATGATCCGTCATTGTTGGCAAAAACTTTGATTAGACAAACACATGATTTGTAGATTATGGCAACACCTCCACCTGATTTGTCTTTGCGATACACTTGGTAAAGTTTATAGCCATAGTTTTTTATTATTGCAGTGGTGTTGTTGTTCTCATCAGTTAGCCATGTTTCTGTAACAAAGAAAATAGATATGTTGTTATCTTCTAAAAAGTTCATAACATGGTCAACTTTGTTGTTTAGAGAGCGAACATTCCAGCTTGCACATTTCATACTAAGGCTCTTAACTCCAGTCTTGTTCTTCACCAGTTTTTTTGGGTGTAATATGAGATTGAATGCTTAAGCTTGTGCTGTTCAGAGATATAGGCTGGGCATGATCTATCTGTGGCTGAGTGTGTGTACTGTTCATCAGTTCTATTAGAATTTTTACAGTTAGCACAGGAGGGTTGCGTTGAAAGGAATGTGTGTCTTTATTTGTACATGAGTTAGTTTCATGATCTTCAGTGCAATGAGCACAGACATGGTTAGATGCTTGGCACTGGGCTGAGTAATGACCAAACTTTTGGCATTTATTACATCGTTTGATGTAAAAGTGATCATACACCTTGCAGCGGTACAAACCTATCGATAGGAAATTGTCACGATTTTCGATTAGCTTCCTTATGGCATTGCTCACTCTGACAGAAGCTTGAAAAAGTGGTTTTTCTGTTTGATAATTTCGTTGTTTGCGGACTGAGAGTACAGAGAATGTTTCACCAGAATCAATGAGGGACTTGATGTCAGGGTAAAGTTTCATAATGGTTTCAAAGAGATCATCGGTTGTGATTTCATCTCTAATCCCGGAAATGGATATCGTAGGCAATTTGGTTATAGGTTGCTTGAGATCAGATTTGGGAAATTTTTTGGAGATAGATTGAACTAGCTTTGTTCGATCAGCTTGACTAGATGTGGTGATAACTGTCTCACCTTTCTTGTTTTCGAAGGTATTATCTACAAAAATGTTATTTTCTGTGATAATAGTTTTAAGGTCAGATAATGGAACTTTTTCTCCCCCTTCAGAGACTATTACTGAAGCTGGATGCCTCAGTTTTTCTACTCTGCTGCTGTCACGCCAGGGATTTTCGACAACACCATTAGAGCCACCAGTTTCATGGTTACTATTAACTGGTGAAAGGGTTGGTGATATGGAACAGTTTCCTGCGGTCAAACTTAATCCATGAAGAGTGGCAGGATTTAACAAGAGATTTTTAATGGTGTCTATGTCAGCATCTAGTTTTGACATTTTTGTTTCAAGGGTGTGTACATGGGTTTTTAAATCAGCAGCGTTTCTCAGGTTTGCTAATGTAACACAAGAGTCACAATGGAAGAGGAAACTTCCAACACGTTTACCTTTCTGTTTTGATTCAGTGTTAGCATTGAAAGATTTCAGTAAGGACGGGGAGCATACATTATCAGGAAAGTTAACACGTTTACCGTCCTTTAGTTCATAACAAGTAGCGTGAAAATTGCTCTTACATTCATAACAACATACCACTTCTCCTTTAGAATCAAACGAGCAGTTTCTGCAGATTCCATCAGCAGCTAACATACGTGGATCGTTCACAACAAAACAAGGGGGGCTGGCACTATCATCATTGTCATTATCATTACCATTGTCATGTTGCCCCTGTAAGACATGATTTGAGGAGTCCAGCCCCTCTGAGTTTTGATCGGGATCCACCATTCTTTTGGGAGGATGGAGACAGATATAAAATCTTTTATGATATATATTTTAGGATGGCCTGTTCGAGTGATTTCGGCAGATGCTCTGGCGGCAACGTACAGAGTAGATTATCTACATCAGAACGCAAAAGAAGAAGCACAGCACTAATCTTCACTCTAGCTACTTTTAATGTCCTGGGTATTACTTCTCCAGTTAAACGGGATGAACTTTTGAGAGATTGCTATTATCGTAAAATAGACATTCTCGCTGTGCAAGAAACAAAATGTCGTCACTTTGAGGATTCAGTTTTGCATTTTACAGATGATGATGGGAAATCACACAAATATCGCTTCATAAACTTTCAGCAATTTGACAATAAGTGGCAAGCAGGTATTGGTTTTCTTGTAAATTCAGTCTATACCAACTACATCAAGTGTTACAACAGTATCAGTGACAGGGTTGCTTATCTAGATCTTGAGATACCAAGTAAATCAGGTAAACCAAGACTTTGCCGTGTTATCAATGCCTATGGACACACTCAAGTAAATTGTGATAAGTATCCGCAGAGACGTGATTATTTCTACAAGTTTCTTGGCAAAGCTGTTGATATCCCATCAAGTTGGGACTTATATATTCTTGGAGATTTCAACTCTCGACTCGGTAAATTGTCTCATTCAGATATTGTTTTCGGGTATAATGACTTTATGGGTATGTATGGGTCTGGAAAGAGGAATTCAAATGGAGAGCATCTTCTTAATTTTCTTGTTGATAAAAAACTTTTTGCTTGCAACACTAGCTTCCAGCACCCTGTCCGTCATATAACAACAAGAATTGGTTTTATTGATTTATTGCTCCATTAACACATCTTGTAAATTTGAGTTTATCCAGTGGCATCATGCCAAACAGCTGCAAGGTTGCAAAAGTCACCCCAATCCATAAGGATGGTGATACTGAGAATCCTAGTAATTATCGACCAATCTCAATTTTACCGATACTTGGAAAGTGCATCGAATTTTGTGTGAACTCCCAACTGACTCAATATCTTGATGAAAAGGGAATACTTTCAGAGCATCAATATGGTTTCCGTAAAGATCACTCTACAACTTATCTCATGTTAGATCTGTTTGATCGCATATTTACTGCTAAGAACAGTGCCAAGCATCCTGCAATTATCTTCCTGGACATCAGAAAGGCATTTGATACTGTTAACCATGATATTCTCATTCAAAAGCTGAAGCATTATGGAATAAAAGATACTGCATTGAGCTGGTTTAGGAGCTTCCTCACAGATAGATTACAGCAAACTAGAGTTGGGAGTAGGATAAGCAGTTTACATTCATTGAACTCTGGAGTGCCTCAAGGAAGTATATTAGGACCAATTCTATTCAGCATTTTTATCAATGACCTGCCTAATGCATGCCTATTTTCTAAACCTTATCTATTTGCTGATGACGGTGCATTATATTTTGACAATATATCTAGAGGAAACTATGGTAACATCAAACAAGAGTTGAAATTAGTTATCAGATGGCTTCAGGCTAATAAACTATCCCTGAATAATGAAAAAACAAAACTAATGATCCTTGACTCTAAGCCTAACCTTGCTGCCATCCTTGTTGAAATTTGTGATGACCTTACTTTGGTAATCTGTGAAACTAAATCCCATAAGTACCTTGGACTTATAGTTGACAGCAGATTGACATTTAATGAACATATTGATAACATTAAGAAAAAGATATCCAAAAGAATTGGTGCTATGTATAGATCAAAAAAACTTCTCCCTCTTAAGTTCAGAAAGATGTTTGCTAATGCACTTATGTTGCCACATTTTGACTACTTAGACACCATCTGGTCAAGAACATATAAAAAACGACTAGGAGAGTTAGATATCATGTACAAAAAGGTTGCTAAAATAGCCCTAGATGTAAACATCAGAGAGAGGTCGGTTAATGTATACAAAAATATGGGATGGCTTCCTCTCCATTTGAGACGACAGGTTCATCTTAGCTCATATATGTACCGTCGCGTATAATCAATGAAACATGTCCAAAGCATTTTATCGGGAAATTCTCGTATATTTCTGGTGGATCACGTGAGGCAGAAAACTGCAATCTTTATACTCCTAAATCAAGATCTCACAAGGAGTTTAACTATCTAGGAACTAAGGCCTGGAACATATTACCAAAGTCCCTTAGAGAGTGTGACGACGTTAAGAAATTTTCTAAGTTATACAAAGAAACTCTTATGAATATGGTGCTAACTGATGAGAATTACCAAGGGGATAACTCTTACGATAAATTCATGATCCCACCCAACACTAGCCAATGTATCTAGGCAGTTATGTTATTTCGGTTAAGTTATCTCAGTACATAAGTGAATCCAATCTATCCCCTGCAATCAAAGTATTTCCATGCCTATTAAGCTATTACAGGAAATTAGGAACATCAGTGGAAAGGTGCACTGTCAATCATTATTGCTCCATACCTCCAGTCCTCCTGTTATGTGCAATTCTCACTGCTATGTATGCTCCTCATTTGTATCAATTATATTGATGCTACATTGTTATTGAATATGAAATAAATTTCAACCGTATTAATTTATTAACTTATTGTAAATAGCAAGTTTGACAAAGGGATTACGTTTATTTTACCCGGAGTTCGTTTAAGTTTAGTATTGTAAATAGTTAATTTGACGAAGGGAATACGTCTATTTTACCCTGAGTTATGTTTTAGTTCAATCTTGACACAATTTTAAAATTATAATTTTATTATTTTATATATATGTATTGTCCATAACTAGGGTGGCCTGCTAACAGAACCATGATCTGCCTTGATTCATCCTTCAGCACAGAGAAAAGCTCCTTTTTTTATACATTATGATTACAGAGGATCTCATATTTAGATATATATTGCTGTGCTGTAAAAATTGACTTTATTTATTTATTTATTTAAGACTACGCAGCTCCTAAAAACTCACATCGCACTTTGCCCTACTACTCTCAAATTGACTATGTCCTATGTACCAGTCGATTGAAGAAACTTTTAGTGAATTCTCGAAGTTATGGGGGTACTCTTGTTAAATCTGATCACAAAATTGTTATTACACGTTTCAACTTCAGTGACGCTCACCTTGTCTTCCCCAAACAGAAACCTAAAATGCATTTTGATATCACAACCCTTGTCAGTAATCCTGCTGCTAAAATGCATTACAACAACACATTGAATGATATTCTAACAGACAGCCCTGTTAATCCTAACCCTGAGGAAGAAATGAATAGTTTGTTTCACAATGTACATAAAGCTGCTGAGGTTAGTATTGGATACCTTCCTAGGAAACGCCCTAAAAACTTTTGTAATGACCTTGAAATTCGAGAGATGTCTGATGAAAAGAAAGTTCTACAAGCTCTACTCAATCAGAACAACACCTCTGAAGATAGATCAGTTATACATACCAAAATCAATCGTATTCAAAATGACACTCGTAAGAGAATCAAGCTCCTTCAAGAAGAGCATGCAGACACTCTTGCTGAAGAGATAAACGAAACTGATAGTTCTAGAGCATACTTTTCAGCCACTGGCCAACTAGCAGGTATCAAACGTGCTCCAACCATAAGTGTGCATGATGAAAACTCTAACTTCATAGGTACAGACACTGGAAAAGCTGCTACACTAAAGAACCACTTTGAAGAGAAGTTCACTGCAAAACATACAGTTGAGCCTATTGACACTTTCTTTGATCAACCTAGTCCTCTCGCTGACCCTATTACTGCTATTGAAGTTGAGATAGCTGCTAAAGCTTTGAAGAATGGTAGAGCCACTGGGCCTGATGATATCCCAAGTGAATTGATTAAGTATGCAAACAGAAGTGTATTTCAGAAATATGCAGACTGTATAAATACCGCATTTGAAACAAACACCACCATAACATCTATTGGAAAAGGCAACATTACTCCACTCCAAAAGCCTAAGAAACCACTTGGTCCAGCAGCAAACATCAGACCTCTCACCCTCTCAAACTGCTCCAGAAAATTACTGTCAATGATTACCCTAAAACGTATCCAAGGCAAGCTAGATCAGTACACCGGTCCTACACAAAGTGCTTACAAGAGAGGTAGAAGTTGTGGCGATATAATTTGGTCTCAACGTATGCTAACCTCAGTGGTACTTAGAAAGCATTGGAGGTACCACAGAATGAGTATAGACATGTCAAGTGCCTTTGACACCATCAGCAGAGAAACAGTACTCAATGTTCTTGAAGATGCTGGCTGTACTAGTGATGAAATTAGGATGGTACGGCTCCTACTATCAAACACAATGTTGAAAGTAAAAGTTAATAATACTGTATCAATTGAGTTCCAAAGCACAACTGGAGCATTTCAAGGAGATGCACTATCAGGTAATCTATTTACTGTTGTTGAAGCCGCTGCACTTATTCACCTCAGATCTGTACTCTCCCAAGTATCATCAACACCTTACCCAGTGAATCATCCAATCCCTGATCCTCCTATCTCAGAAGAATTCATGCCACTCGAAACAGGATACTCTGATGATATTGACTTTAATAACACTGAACTTGCTCCACTCAAAGAAATGCTTCCTATCGCTAAAGATATATTCCAGCAGTGGGACCTTCATATCAATTCTTCCAAGACTGAATTTGTCCATTTTTATTTAGCAGATCCTAAACCCACTGTTAAACGCAAGGTGATTGTTGGAAAAGTGTATAGAGGTGATGAAGAGTGGCGCTCTAACAAAACTTTAGGATCGTTGATGTGCACTGTTAAGGATATCAAGAATCGAATATTCCTTGGTAATGTTGCCTTTAGTAAATTTCAGAAAGTTTGGATGAAGAGCAAGATTTCAGTCCAAAGGAAGATCAAAATCTACGAAGCACAAGTAGTCTCTATTCTACTCTACAACTGCAACTCCTGGGCTGCACCACTAGCTTCGTTGAATGAACTTGATATTGCTCATCGCAAACACCTCCGAAGAATCCTAAACATCAGATGGCCTACTGGGGTTATTTCTAATGAGGCACTCTATGCTCGTTGTTATGTCACTCCCTTGTCTGTGAGAGTCTCTAAGTTTCGATGGAGAATGTTAGGACATATCTTAAGAGGACAGGAAGACTCACCAGCATACACCTCTATGTTATTTGCTATAAATTCTGATATTTTTATGGAAGGGAGACGGGGTAGACCATGTTTAAACTTATTAGATGTTATTAGAAAAGACTTGACTAGTAGAAATCTTGATATTAGACTTAAGAATTTGACTGATTTCGAAGACCTTAGATTTTTAGCTTTAGATAGGGAGGAGTGGAAGAAGTTAGAAGATGGTTGATGTTTTTGTTTTCTTTTTTATGCGTTTTGATATCTATAAGGTGCCTAGGATGCTCTTTTAAAGAGATATTTCGTACTTTGAAAGATTTACTACTATGATGTATAACTCAGAAGTTTCGGGGTCCTCAAATTATTTGTTATATAGTAGTGTTGAAAGTATTAAAACATGTATGTTATGTTGAGCATTCTCAACCAACAAATGTGGGAACTCCCACGAAAGACCAAAACAGATCTAAAGAGACACTTAACAACATTGGAAAATAGACTTCAATTTGTTTATATAATTTATAAAGCGTATATTATTGCCCACGTTAAGGGGCCTGTTAATAATTTATTAAATTATTAGCTATTTTAGATTTAATAATAATAATAACTAAAAGAAAAACATCTCTTACCTACTACCTAAAGTTCAAATTTTAACTTCAGCTAATGTTCACATAAGTGTGTGCTTCATTTTGTTGTTCTTAGCTTTATAGATCAACTAGAAATCATGCGCTCACACAGGAAATAAGGTAATGAATTAAATCAAATCAAAACATAATGGTCCATAAGATCATCACAACTATTCGTAAACATATCTTAATAATTCAAATTATACCCAAACGACCTAGTTCAGGTTAATACATTTTTCTTTACTACATACAATGTCAAACCATTTAAACAATGAATGAAACGAAAAGTTTTATTTTTCATTCCTTTATATATATCCTCAATATATATACTAGTGTAACACGGCCTTTGGCCGGGATTACACTGCTGCAGTTAAAAAGGGTAGAAGTATTTAGCCACAGAGTCAAAACGCGTATTAGGTGAGCAATTCTATTCAGAGTGCCCTCACGTATCTAATAGTATTTTAAACAATAGTATCTTAAACAATAATCAATCGAAATTAACCCTTATTAACTCCCCACCACACCCGCATATTTGAAAACATGCATTTCATTGTCGTATGAAAATATGAACTCTCTCTACAGTTCAAACAGACCGCTATAAGCGCTCCCTCCCTAATAAGTTTAAAGTATCCATGACAGCATGTAATTATGATATATGTACCAACGCTACATAATATTATGAAGTAATGGGAGAGAGCGAGCGAGACCCGTAACTTGATTAAACTGCTCAAGCCATTTTATGTAACATTTGTGGTACAAAACCATCAATTAAACCACTTACCACCGGCCGATTTAAAAAATATTGCTTATTGGCTTCGTCAGAGTTTTGTCGGCACTATACCGAAAAACCAGTCCCGTAACTCTTACCGTTTTTTAATATAACCGCTTGGAAATTTCCCACATACACACATACACACATACGGAAGCTTTTTTCTTGTAGGTGACTTGCATGTTAAGCAGCATTTAGATAACAGATAGGAGACAATGAATAAATCTTATGAGATTATATATGGCAAATGCATATTTTAGTAGCGCTCGATTTTACATCGAAACGACTAAGAATTCATACACACATAACCGTCAACCGTGCATTTTTCAGGACAGGTTTCGGTTTTTTTCGTTTTTGACTTTCATTTTATCTTTATTTTTTAATATTTAGATCCGACACAATGTTTATTGTAATGATCATTTTATTTTGAAATCCTTGAAATCCTTTGAAATCCTTGAAATCCTTGAAATCCATGCGCGGCGTCGTGATATTTTAACGTTTTATTTGACAAATTGTAAATAGTATTTTTCTATTTTTATGGAAAATTTTGACCATTGTTAATGATCAGGCCCGACGCGCGCTACTTCGTAGCACTTGCCATCGGGCCAACATTTCGAGAAGAAAGTGGCGCGCGCTACTTCGAAGAAATTTAGACGAGTAACATCTGTCAAGGAAAATTTGTAGTTTATTTACGATGTCAATCTTTCACATTTCGCCGATCTACAGTGGCCGTTGCGAGAAGATGCGCGGCGCGCGGCCCAGTAGTGCATCGCGCTACAAATTCGGTAGGCAATAAAAACATGCAACGTTCAACAAGTTTTATTTGGTTGACAAGTAAATTGAAATTGTGTATTTTTGATAAAATATTTTAAATACAAACAACAAATTAATTTGATTTATCATTAAATTTGTTGTATCACGTTGCGACCCCCACGGTTGTTTTACTATTTCCACAGTCGTTGCACCTGTTAGATGGCCTCTAGTTAAACAATAAAACCCGTATTTGTCGTATGTACAAAACCTGTAAACCAAAATACTTTATTACATAATAGAATAACTTTACCACCAAATTAAACCAATTCCAAATAAATACCTAATAACTAAACATTATAAATACTTACCGATTGGACGGTAGTGTGCTGCCAATGTTCCACTCCTCCCCAGTCCAATCGGTTATCCTTCTTTGCTTGTCATTGCTAGAAAAGGTAAACACGGTTAGAAGTATTCTGTCACGAAAGAGAGAGAAAGGAGTGAACAGTAATAACATTCCCCAGTTTTCCTTTTCCAGCAATGCTAGCCCCAATTTCTCTCAAGATTGCACTATTAAATTACACAAAAATACGCTCGAAGATCCCGTCTGAGCTACAGCTGTCGTCAGATTATCACTCGCGGTGACCTATCTGGACGGATCCATTATGCATTAAATAATTAAAATACAGTCAACAACCCCGTTTGAGTTATAGCTGTCTTCAGATTATCACCCGCAGTGACCTATCTGGACGAATCCATTAAATAATTAAATACAGTCAACAACCCCGTTTGGGTTATAGCTGTCTTCAGATTATCACCCGCAGTGACCTATCTGGACGAATCCATCAAATAATTAAATACGCTCAACAACCCTGTTGGAGCTACAGCTGTCTTCAGATTATCACCCGCAGTGACCTATCTGGACGAATCTATCAAACAATAAACTTGTACCCACAAATACGCTCAACAACCCTGTTGGAGCTACAGCTGTCTTCAGATTATCACCCGCAGTGACCTATCCTGTATCGTCCGCGGGGAGCCGCGCACTCGTGTTTCATTGATTTATTAGTTTCATTGAGTGTTTGCTCTAACCAAAGTGGCCTCTCGCTTGCTATAGCGCGCGACCGCCGTTGTGAAAAAACGTGTCACGCAGTACGCATATACACATGGCTATGTGAAGTACAGTGTATTACTGATTACTAAACCGCGTTGTTCATTGGAGCGCATAATAAATAATATAATTATAATTTTTCAACTACCTAAGGGGTTCATGCAACGTGTGTCAATGATTTATTGCTCGACCCGTTTAATTAATTGTGTACAGTATGCGAAAAGTTTAAAAACAGCGCTGCACATATGGTTGGGTGCGCGCCTGGTAACGCGCCGGCCGAAGAGAATGACGCCGGATAAAGGCTAACGTTACTATATCATACACAATAATTTGTTCGATAAATTGTTAGTCAATTTTGATTTAGTTAATATCGACATAAAACTCAAAATTATAATAAAACTTGAAATCATCCGCATGTAGCTAGACTTAAACCGAAATTTTGGCTTGCTCTAACCAGAGCCCTCTCGCTTGCAGTTATAGCGCGCGACCGCCGAAGCAAGCGCGTCAATCAGTACGCGTATACACATGGCTATGTGAAATTTTGGCTATCATGTTTGTTTCGTATTTTTTGACGTGTTACGAACTAAGTTACAAAATTATTTGAAATACTGAAGAGTTTGCATACAGCATAGATCAATTTGCAAATTTTCCTTTGCGAGCTTTCCCAACTATCACATATCAATGTAAGGAAAACAAAATTTAAGGAAAACAAAATTTAGATTTTATTGCCATTACAATTACAAATTAATAATAGTATCATAATATATGTATCTCCAACGGGTCAGCGTTATTCAGACTCAGTTACATATCTTAGAAAGCGCTTGCGCTTTGAGGTATTAAAGACAACGGTTATTTCGATAAGGGGGGACAGAGGGCCCAAGTTGCGATATAAACCAGACAATATTGAAGATTTAGATTTAAATATTGAGCCCCTTGGCTAGAGAATACTTTCTTGAATATTTTCGATAGTTTTTAATATTGGTAATGTTAATGAATTGTAATTGATTGATATGTAATATTTAGGCCCGTGGCCAGTTCTCATATTCATCATAATATATATATACTACTTAAAGGGTTTTTATAAAACGTACTTAGATTTTATTGAATTTGTATATTGAAATTTTATATAGGGTCATTGCTCAATGCTATATTTTTTTAATTTTTTTATCTAGACACTTATTTTACTTCGGTGTATTCCAACAGCCACAATGTTACACAAGTGCAACCAGCCAATTACAGGAAGCCGAAGGATCTTTTTGGCCAGTGACGGTTAAGGTAGTGTGTACCATACTTTCTTCGTCCGAGACTTTGCTGCAATGTGCAGCTCCTCATTTAACCCTCACACCCGATTTCTCGAGTATTCGGCTGAGTAGACCGGGGGGCTGCATAGACCACTCATGATCCTTAGCTGAACGTCGACGACGCTCACCCCACGACCAGGCAGTCAGTGGGTTTCGAACTCGCAACCTAACGATTGTAAGACAGGCGTTCTAACCAACTGCGCTACCTGGCCGTTAAATATTATGTGTATATTGTTTTTTCTCTAATAAATATAAGTAAACATCCGATAATAAAGTTGTTAGAGCCCTTGATGCTCTAATGTACTATACTAACAAATAGAACTTTCAGGTTCATGGTTCTTCGAACACAAATACATTTAGCTATGTAATGATTCTACGTTATATTAAAAACTACATACCATCTTTAAATAATGACAAAATATAAACAAAAATAAATTTTGTCAATTTAATAATATCAACATGACAGTCAATATAACCGAAAATATACTTTCAACATGAGCAATGAGCATCCTACCACCACCCCACGTGCTGCGTCAGATTGATTCTCTTTTGCCACTCTATGGGAAATTGCAGCATACTGCATAGGCGGATACATTGTTGCTAATATTTATTCACCATCCATAACCTTTTCACATAAGGATACCCTTAACAAGTATACTACACTTCAAACATTGGAACTATCATGATGTTGACTAATTTAAAACTTTTTTCCGTTTTAGAGGCTGGGTTATACACAGGTCCGTATTGCCAGATTTAAGTTACACAAAAGCCAGCGGATCGCTAGCGGAAGCTAGCGGGCGCCTAACGGAGATGCGCTAAAATGCAGCATTTATACCTAGCGGATGGCAAGCGGAGTATAGCGGACGCTTCGCGCAAACTAGCGGAGAATAGTACTAGCTTACGTAAGACATCTGCTAGTTTCCACTAGCTATCCAATTTTGCTGCTAGTTTTTGCGTAAATTAAATCTGCGAAATCAAACTATAGAGATCAAGAGGACAGCATCTAGTACTTAAATCTACCGATAGCATGGACACTTTGTCTTCTTGGGCAGTTTCAAATGTTCAAAATCACAATAGTAAAATGATGGATGTATTATCATTATCATCACAAGAAATGGTGCAGTGAAAACGTCAAACCAATTTGTGATGAACTCAACTGTAAAATATGCATTTCATGAAGCCACCACATAAGTATCATCACGATAAGCGAATGTATTAAATTCCGTTACATTTGAACATGAAGGGAAACAATTTGAGGCTTGAAATCCTTGTAAAAAGACATGATAGCCTACATTAAAGCTCCTTTCTCTGGTATCAATCAACTAATACAATCAGTAATAATAGAACGCAGTGCAGTACACTGCAATGTATATGTATAGATTATCAGAACCGGAGATATAGCTAGAGCTGATGAAAATGTTGCACACTTTACATGATGAAATCACAATACAACTTCCCATTTCTCACCCGTTTTGCATGTGGACTGTCAGACAAAGAGAATTGTCTGGATTATAACTAAGATCTAAATAGTTTCTTCACAGAAGAAATTTGTTTACATACCACTGATATTGCAGGATCCCATGTTTCAATTTCCTTACAAATTAGTCAAAACTTGTTCCCCCAAGAATTGTCGCTACTCTGGGTTCTACTGTATTTTTTAACACTTCATTTGATAAAATCTTTAGGATAGTGAAAACTCTGATGAATGGTGCTGCAGCTGTCCAGGAATTGCAAAAAATATTTAAGCACAAGTCCTTGAATGATGTGAGTACCTTAAGTTATAACTTAATATATAACTATACAATCTCCTGTAAAGTTACATTATTTTAGACCAATTGTTATTTTCTGTATTATATTTGTTGACTGTTTTATATTTTATTGATAATGTAGGATAAGCACTGTGTCAATGTCATACCATAGATGATAAATATTTGAAATCAGATTTAAAACATTATTATATCTCATATAAGAAGTTTCTTGTCCGACGTGACGGAAAGTTGAGTCATAGGTGCTCTATCTTTTGTTTACATCAGAAGAACGTACACTTAAACTTGATCCTTGAAATCTGATATAATCATAGAAGTGAAATCATACAATATCATAGACCAAAGATTTCTTTTTCAATTTGATTTTCAATCAATCTTCTTCCTTTCTGAAGAAATGTTCATGTACCAGTCGACTAGTTGTGTTTCATTGCTAGATGCTTTGCTAACAGCCACGGTCATCTGCTATCCGCTGGAATTTTTCTAAAAAGTAGTAGTGCCCCATCAACATGTTTTATCAGTTAAACGAAGTTTCTCTAATTGAAGATGTAGTGACATTCTATAGACCCCGATGTAGACCCCCTCGAGTGAGTCAAGCAGCTGAACTTCTTTTGCTAACCATTTGTGTTTATCTTGTTATTGGGATTTTTGGTTCAGCTATTGCATTGGGCTTTGTAACAATTTTGGAACACTTGGAAGCAATACAATATTATTGGACCTTTAAATGTGTTCAATTCTTAAACTGTGATCTCGAAATCTTTAAAAATCGATCAATAATCAACTTAGCTGTACAGGTTGTTGACTCTTTCCTAGGTATCTGGTATACTCTTGGGTGAACTTAGCACTATTTGCTTACCTTCTGCTGCGCTAATCACTGTATAAACCAGGAATTACTAAAATCCAATAATTCCAACACAACAATTCAGGTTTACATATCACATGACGGTGCTGTGCGAGCCAGATTCCCGCCAGCAGACAGCTCGCGTCTCATCAAGGACATTCTGCGCACAAACCAGGTAAAAGCAGCACAGTCTCACGACAACATCTCAAGACCTGTCATAGCGCCACCTGACATGAACCTGAGTCCTGACTGCGCTAAGAAGTTTACCTCCAAGATCGTCTCGGTAAGCCAATTTTTATTTCTTTGCATCAAATTTGAGTATCGATGGGAAACTTAAATAGTTATTATTGATATTTGGTAATTGGTACCTAGATTTTTGTATTCAGTGCAGTACTGTTGGACTATGTATTCGAGCACATGAACGTAGTTTGTTCCGACACAGAGTTTTCTTTTCTTGTTCCTGGCTCTGGCAAATATTCAAATTTTACTGTGAAAAAATTCCCACCATCCACTATCCAGGTCATCAAAATTATCTCACCCACAGTAACCCCAGGTCCCTGGTTGAATACGGTCACTGAGTGGCATCAATTTTATAAATTGTCTCCCAAGTAATTAAGATGGAACATGATTTGACTCTATCACTAAATTGTTTGTATAATTCAAGTTCATAAGCTAACTTCACATGCAATCGTCTTAATGACAAGCTCAATATTATGGTGTAAACTCTACAGTCTACAGAGAGCTGCTTGTTTTTACACACTGCTCCGTGTATAGATTGTAATATTATGTAGTACCGTTATCATTGGTATTCCTCATTATATGTATTATATGAAAAAGGTATGTGTTATTGTTAGTATAGTCTTTTCCTGCTATTTTACAGCAGCTCCCGTGGTTATTATTGCAACTTGTGCATCATGATCATCCCTAGCTGCTCCAGTCATCAGTCAGTTCTAAAAGTCACATGTTAAGAGTGTAACATTTGCAAATGATCGTGCTTTTTTGGCCGATCCAAGGTGTAAACTAGTAAAAATGAACTCATGAGAAATTGTAGAGATGCTCGCGATAAATGCTTTTAATAACGCTTAAATTATGATAAAGTGTATTTAGAACGTGGTGAAAATCCTCTACAACCGATCACAGAAACACGATACCTATTTGCCACGAGTAGAGGCGGGGGAGTCGAGCAGTCGTGCGTCATTAGTATTAGAGCGGATTACAGTGTACATACAGTGTGTTAATCGACTAATTACCGATAGAGTTTCCTGTTATGTGAGGTGGTGTTCATTGTAGGGCACACTATAATATGTCAGCCGTGAGCTGCTGTGTGAAGATCTATTGTGCTTTGTGTACGCTGTTAATGTCACGTGTTATTTCACACAATTAAAAGGGGTGTCGGTGATAGAAGGTCAATTTGTGCGTGTTCAGATTTTAAGGAAGTGAGTGAGTCATAGATTCTTAAGATTCCACGACATTTACTTGAGCCATGAGTTATTGAGTGATGTCAAGTTGACATTGAAAGATGAATTCGATAACTTGTTGGAAGCATATAAGATCAGTGCTATTTTCAGACGATTTTCAGAATCCGCCCCTTCTATTAACCATTAACACAATGTTTTCAGGTCAAGAAAAGGTTCATCCCCGCTGCCCAGAAAGTAGTTGACCGGTGTCTACTCAAGGTGTGATCTGTAACGATGTGTTAAGCGCAGTTCATGGTTTAGCACGTGTCATCGTGGCAATATGTTCCAACCGGCGTGTGTCCATCGCACCAACGCCCATTACTCCCGTATCATCGCGACCTAAGAGTTGGAGTATCTGTCCGTCACCTGATCATAACGAGGAGTCCCTGCGGCCACGTGGGTTTAGCGCGGCTCCTAATCTTGCTGCCAGGTTAATTTACTTATTGTTATTGGCCTTTGTTTAGCCGATAGATAATAATGTCCTTTGTTAATAATATTACCATGTTAAAGCCAAAGGTTCTAACTTTAATCGATCTGTAAAACGGGTCGAATTTATTCTAGTTAACATGAATTAAGACATAATATTATAATGAATGGTCAACCTTACATATTGCACTTTCTGATAATATTTCTAAATCATATGGTCGGACTAATCCTCACTTTCAAGAGCTGTAACTGATCACCTACCTCTAACAGTAACTCTCTACTCCTCCCACAGTAGATCCAACGATTCTTTAGACTCAGCTGCATCATCACGCAGCGCGAGCAGGAAGGCGTCACGCGAGAGTCTTGGTGGTGCAGGTCCGCTAGAGTCGCTCAGAAGATGTTGTATTGCCCATCTTGAACCTCTGAAAACTGAACTGTCCTCGAAGGGAAGGTAAGTGTCAGAGATTGAAGAGGAGTTTTGTTGCGTCTATTATTCTGAAGACTTATAATGTTCATTAATGTTGACTGTCCATTACTTTAGTAACGATGTTAAAAAAACGATGATTAATTAACTTACTAATCAACTAAATCACTCAGCGAGAAGTTAAACGGAGAAATGTTTGACGAAGTTATCTTAACAGTTCGTAAGCTCTGTGAATCTGTTGGAGGTGATTTAGAGACAGAAATGATAGAGGTAAGCTAACTTTTGATTTAATTTACTCAATATTATGTGTTATGTAAATACCACAGGAATATTTATTTAAGTCACACACCAGTCTGATAAACCTTGGAAACGGTGAAATGCGTCATTTGCATTGGTGGAGACTGGAGCTAATGTCATTTTATTAAGTATGAACATAAAAATTACCGTTTTTATAAATTTGCGATCCCTCATGAACCAAGATCTTAGGTCGGTTTAAATGTTAAATTTCAGCTGTGGTTTACAATAGTCTGGTGCAGCACAATGATACATAGATTATAATATCAATAGTGGAAGTGCGTGTTACTATTTTCATTACAAAGTCACTGAAACTACACTGTAAAACCAAAGATACAGATTCTAGACACTCCATAAACCTTGTGCTGGATCCGTAATAAGGTAGAGCGGTCAATTGTAGCGGTCTTGTAGCGTTGGAATTGTAGCCGATCTTTATTTAGATCTCCGATCAGGAAGTATGATCAAATCGTGCCGTAAATTTTATCTATCTAACAGTCTTCTGTGACTTGTTATTGATAAAAAGTTTGCGGGTATAAGCAATGTTTGCCGCATTCCTGTACTACCTATTACTACCGAGTGTAACAATTACACTCGATATATTTGTTATCATCTACATGAGGTTTATACCCATTAGACACGAGCTACACATCCGGGACTTTAGTACCAAACTTGCTGAGCCCGCTTACTTATACCTCACCACATTATCACCCTTTAACACATGAAGCTACTGTGGATTAAAGAGCACCTGAGGTTGACCTAAATAAGCTATTTTTAGAATAAGCGTTATCGGGTAAATAGAAGCGGGGGCTGGGGCGGCGACGAGGGGAGTTAGTATTGACACGTGACACTGATTAACCAATCAAATCCCAGCAACGCCCATACAACTCCCTGCCCCACCCTCCCTTCATTACCACTATACGTCATCATAGTTGGTGGTTATAAGTTCCTGGCTTAAGTGTATCTCTATTGCTTTAAAATTGACCATTTTAGGCAACGAATATCCCCGATTTTCAATTTATAAATAGTCGATAAAGTGTATGGTAAATGGTCTCGTCTGCAAACTTTTTTGGCTCAATGAAATATAACTATCTTTAATTCATAATTAGATCCTCGGTTCTGCTAATAACTAAAAAACAAGATAATATATTATGATTTATATGTTTCAAATCATTTATACTCAAACCGTAACTGTTTATACCATGACCATAGACGACAGATTCCATTAAAATGTCCACAAAAGAATTCACAAATGAGTAATATTAATGTGCTCATACAATACTCTTCACCCTGCCACTAAAACATTTTGACTAATTCCCGGGCTACTCAACCTCAAATTATGAGAACACAACCATTGAATCAGAACCCTGAAATATGATAACCGGCGTCCTTTTAAAGAATCATCCAGCCACAATGTTAAGTCAGCTTATTTTCTTATATTCAGCCTTACTACTGTTGTACATAATTTGTAACTGTACCGGCAACATTTGGCTCCTGTAATTTGACAGCAGATCGTTTCCCTTAGTTCGCTCACTGGTATAGTCTAGCAGTGGTTTACCTCCCCGGCTCTTGTTTGTTGTATCACTGTTAACCTCGTGCATTCGCCAGATTTTGTTTATCCAAGTCTTTGGGTATTTGCTAGATCTTGTTTATTCAAGTCTTGGGTATTTGCTAGATTTTGGTAGTCAGATTCTTGGTTTTTTGTTGTTTGGGCACCTTTACCATGGGTTCGAATCTTTACAAGAGAGTCTTGATGCAGCTACTCTGCAGTGTAAAGATGCAGGTGAGTTTAGAAATAGTTTTACTGGACAACTCAAAAAAGTGCACCCTTTATATACATTATTCAGTTAGCACGCCTAAGGAGTCTAGTGGCATGTTGTATATAATTAAATTTAAGACTCGGTAATATATCAGTCTGGTTGGTTAACGATAAAGGACGTTAATAAATGTTAACTTTGCCAGGGCGAAATCTCAGGTATATTATTATTCTGGCACGCCCTCCTTACAAGAAAACAGTCAGGAGTTAGTCGAATAATAAGTTATTGTGTCAAATGACGGTAGAACTTTGAGTGTAAACAGTTACTCTGTCATTTATGACAGTAGGGCTTTGTCAGCAACTCTATCTTAGCTATATCTTCTAAACTGGTCAGGGTTGGGTCATCTGTCCAAAAGATGAAAGAGATGAATCATATTAAGTGACCAGTTATTATTGTAGTCTATTCATGTATCATCAAACCCATCCTATGTACAAAACCGTGGTTTAGATACCGACAAAGAGTGATAGGGTTTCAAAATGTTAACAAGTTAAAAATATAAAGGTTTAGTTAAAAGATTAAGAGGTCGAAAGTTTAAAGGTTAAAAGATGGTTACTGCTTGAAAATGAAATGGGTTAGTTGTCTTAAAATCTGAAAAGATTTTAGTTCTAACTGCAAAGCGTGCGTTGGTTTTATGATCATCAACTTTGTCAAGGATATCATTTCCGCCAAATATTGTAACTCTAAAACGCATGTTCTAAATCTCAACCAAGAAATAAACTCATCAATCTCCTTCTCACGAGCTTCCTTATTTGTTAATCAAATCCTTGGAAAGTCGCACAGGTATATTATAAATATTACTTGCTAGTACGATAGGTTGATATATTGTCAATTCTAAAAGGTCTCAGAGACCAGAGTAACTGCTGTACGCCTATTATCTGTACTTACAAAATGTTAAAATCTAACCTAAAGACTTCAACCAGTTACCAAGGTGACTGGAAACTGAACACGTGACCCTCACCCCACGCCACGTGACCATCACCCCACTCACGTGACCTAAATACCCTAAATACAAGTTCTGGCAAGGTTCCAGTGTACATTTGACGCTGTCTGAGTGTGATGTAGATTGTGTGGGGTTGAGGAAATATAGGGTGCAGACAGGAAGAGGTGCAGGGTGCTTGTAAGGTTTCATATCTCACGTACCATTATGTGAAGCACCCTCTGTGTTTCACTTGGTTTCTAACTGATATTTCTCTCGTTTCACTTGGCCTGGAGATAAAATATAGTTTTGGTGGTGCTTTAATTTAGATGTTGTTCTTGCTTGATAAGGGCCATATTATATGCTATTAAGAAGAGTGTTTACTTGTATTATCTGCCTACTGCAACAGCTGTTTTGCTCTAAGTAAGGTCGACGTCTATAAGTCTGACGAATTTGCTCGTTGGTACCGAATTTTGAACACCGCACCTCATATAAATAGGACTAAAATTCCTATACAAAGAACACAAAGTCTTGGAAATGTGTTTTAACTAACACTTCTACGGTTTATTACAAACTTCCGAGACTGGAACGAAATCTTAGAACTGGTAAAGCAAATCTGTACGCCTTCCCGAAACTTGACATCAGAAATGAGAGTGTTAAAACAAACCATTAGAAAACTACCGACAGAAGCAGGTGCAGAAAACGGTTTTTAACCGTTTTTAACCGCCTTCACGTGGCGAATTTTGTCAACTGTGCAAATTCCACTGATGTTGTTAGGGTCAAATGAACTGTATATGTTGACAGAAATTGTCCTTTTTAAATTTGTACTGTCAACTTAAAGTATTTGTAACGTTTTACACGCAAATCGCAATCGTCACAATAAGTCCACCCTATTAACGCTTACTTCATCCTTTGTTATGATATATCCGTTTCTGTAGTGTTTCACCTCCCAATATTGCTCTACACTCTACAGTGACCTTACATCTATATTACAATGCACTGAAATTTAGAAATTCAATTACCTAATCTCAGATATTTTCATCCACATTCCACAAGCAGTTGTACTACCAGCTGTTATCGCTGCAATATTATAATAATTATACATACTAGTACTACAAATTAGCTGATAATTTTCTAAAAGCACACAAAAGTACTGCTTTAATTCTATTATCACAGCTCCGGGCTTAAATTTTCTCTTCTCTGTAGAGCTGTAGCCGGCAGTTTCTGTGCACTTCAAGAATTGTTCCGTCGCTTTAATGTACACGATATTATATTGGTCATCTGTTTCCTTGAAGATTATAAATATAATTCATTATTACATCGCGGAACAGGCGTTCAAAAATAGATTAGC